CGCGGCCCAAGCGGAGGCCGCAGGCGGCGCGGGGGGCCTCCTCCTCCCTCTTCCCTCCTCCCTCCTCCCCCTCCTCCTCCTTCTCCTCCTCCTCCTCCTCCTTCTCCTCCCCCTTCTCCTCCTCCCCTTCTCCTCCTCCTCCTCCATCTCCATCTCCTCCTCCTCCTCCTCCCTCCTCCTCCTCCTCCTCCTCCTCCTCCTCCTCCTCCTCCTCCTCCCCAGAGCTGGCCCAGGGCGCCGGGGGCCCTAGGGGGAGACGCTCTTTCCGCGTTGGGCGGGCTTGCGCAACGGAGCTGTAGCGCTCGTGCGGCCAACGGTGGCAGAAGCATTCGCCTGACGAAGGACCCAACCACATGCAGCTGCGAGTACCGCGAGGGAGACGAGACGAAGGAGGGGGGCGCGCAGACTCCGACTAGCCCTCGTGGGCAGCGCGCCGCAGCAAGAACGAAGCGCGTGGCAATGCGGGCAGGGGCCATGGGGCCACGAACCGTGTGCGGGACGTGCCGAAATAGGTGGCGGGGGCGCGTGTAAACTGTACCACTGGAACCTTCGGTGGAACTCCCTATGGGGCCACGAACCGTGTGAGGGGTGTGCCGAAATGGGTGGCGGGGCTGCATGTCAACTGCGCCACTGGGGCCTTCGGTGGAACTTTCCATGGGGCCACGAAGCGTGTGAGGGGTGTGCCGACATGGGTGGCGGGGACGCATGTAAACTGCGCCACTGGGGCCTTCGGCGCAGCTCCTATGGGGCCACGAGACGTTTTCAGGGGTGTGCCGACATGAGTGGCGGCACGCATGCGAACTGTGCCACTGGGACCTTCGGCGGAGCCCCTATATGGCCACGAAACGTGTGAGGGGTGTGCCGAAATGAGCGGCGGGGACGCATGCGAACTGTGCCAGGGGGGCCTTCAGTGGAGCTCCTATGGGGTCACGACGCGTGTAAGGGGTGTGCCGAAGTGTATGGCGGGGATGCGTGCGAACTGTGTCACTGGGACCTTCGGCGGAGCTCCTTATGGGGCCACGAAACGTATGAGGGGTGTGCCGACACGAGTGGCGGGGACGCGTGCGAACTGTGTCACTGGGACCTTCGGCGGAGCTCATATGGGGCCACGAACCGTGTGAGGGGTGTGTGCCAAAATGTATGGCGGGGTTGCATATCAACTGCGCCACTGGGGCCTTCGGCGGAACTTTCCATGGGGCCACGAACCGTGTGAGGGGTGTGCCGACATGGGTGGCGGGGACGCATGTAAACTGCGCCACTGGGGCCTTCGGCGCAGCTCCTATGGGGCCACGAAACGTTTTCAGGGGTGTGCCGACATGAGTGGCGGCCATGCATGCGAACTGTGCCACTGGGACCTTCGGCGGAGCCCCTATGTGGCCACGAAACGTGTGAGGGGTGTGCCGAAATGAGCGGCGGGGACGCATGCGAACTGTGCCAGGGGGCCCTCAGCGGAGCCCCTATGGGGCCACGAAGCGTGTGAGGGGTGTGCTGAAGTGTATGGCGGGGGCGCGTGCGAACTGCGTCAATGGGACCTTCGGCGGAGCTCCTTATGGGGCCACGAAACGTATGAGGGGTGTGCCGAAACGATTGGCGGGGACGCATGCGAACTCAGCCAGTGGGACCTTCGGTGGAGCTCCTTATGAGGCCACGAAGCGTGTGAGGGGTGTGCCGAAATGGGTGGCGGGGCTGCATGCAAACTGCGCCACTGGGACCTTCGGCGGAGCACCTATGGGGCCACGAAACGTTTTGAGGGGTGTGCCGAAATGGGTGGCGGGGCTGCATGTAAACTGCGCCACTGGGACCTTCGGCGGAGCTCCTATGGGGGCCACGAGACGTTTTCAGGTGTGTGCCGACACGAATGGCGGGGACGCGTGCGAACTCAAACACTGGGACCTTCGGCTGAGCTCCTATGGGGCCACGAACCGTGTGAGGGGTGTGTGGCGAAATGAATGGCGGGGGAGCATGTAAACTGCGCCTCTGGGACCTCCGGCGGAGCTCCTGTGGGGCCACGAAACATGTGAATGGTGTGCCAAAGTGAGGGGGGGGCGGGAGAAGGGAGGAGGGGGGAGGAGGACGGAAGGAAGGAGAACGCGGGGACCAGCTCTTCAAAACGAGGACCCAACACCACAGGAATATTGGGAGAACATGAAGCCGCCTCAGTGCAGAAATAAGCGGCGCAAGAGGTGCAGAGAGAAACGTAAAGCGCGGAGAGCCAGCGAAGGCAAGCATTAGATCTGCGGGCGTCGGCAAGGAAGTCCCCATCCCCACATCCCGTCCCACCATACTCGTTACCTCGCAAATCCCCCCCACGATCCCTCAATTTGCAGTTTTGCACCGCTGAAGACGGCTTAAGCGAATGTGCCAGGGCCGATGAAATGAGACCCATTGTGTGCGAAATGACACTGTAGCGTCGATTGAAGATGCCCTCTTGAACTTCAAGCCCTACTGTGGACCTTGAAGCCGTGCCAGCTCTGGTAGCTCGGCATGCGCTGCGGCGGCTTCATAAGAGGTGGACTGCTTTGCTGCCTCTGCAGGTCTCGGCTGAGCCCTTGCGCCCAGCTGCTCGGGGAAATGTCAACACGACTACGTCCCATCCCGCCTCCATCTCACCACCTCCATCCCATCCTCCTCCCCCCACTCCTCCTCCTCCTCCTCCTCCTCCCACGTTGACGCAGGGGGACCGCGAAGCGGACAGTGTGGCGCACCGAAGCGCGGTGGGTCGGAGCCAGCGCAGCGACGCGCCTTCCAGGAGAAGCCTGGCCGTAGTAGGCGGCAGGGCGCAGCACGAGGAGGAGCGGGCCGGGCCCCCTCCCCCTGCTCCTCCTCCTCCTCCTCCTCCTCCTCCTCCTCCTCCTCCTCCTCCTCCTCCTCCTCCTCCCCCCGGAGCCACCAGGGCAGCCAGGCGATGCAGGATGGCCGGCCCCCTCGCAGGTCGGGGGCTGCTGAAGGTGCCCCTGGCCCAGGGTGCCCCCCAGCTTTCCCCTCTCCGTCTCGGAGCCCCACGGAGCCCTCCGAGCCTCGTGAGGGGTGCTCTGGAGGGCGCGGGGGCGCCTCGGAAATCCTGTAAAACGACGCGAAGATCGGGACAAAATCGGATCGGGATAACTCGAAATCTCTGAGAATCGGCGGGTTTGGAGGATGTATTGGGCGCCGCGGCCGCTCCAGAGCGTTCCGGAACGCTCTGAGAGCGCTCCGGAACGCTCTGGAGCGATTTATCCCGATCCTAGCCCTGTTTTATCCTGGGCTCCCGGGGGCCATCGGGGGATCAGACGTCTCCGCGGGGCACCCGCTGGCAGGCCGGTTCCTTGTCTGCTGTGCCTGCTGCGCCACCAGCGTCGGGAGCGCCCAGGAGGCGCGGCACTGGATGGGGGGGGGGGGGCAAGCGGAGCTACTACGCGTCCAAAGGCGCAGGGGTCGCAATGCTCCAATGAATGCTGCCAGGCGCACCACAAAGCGCGCCGCGCAGGCATTGTGAGAGCCTTTTGGGATCTGGATCACATGTTGGTGTAGATCCTTTCAAGCAGAGCAGAAGAATAATACAACATAGTGACGGGAAATGAAAAGGCATCTAGCCCTAGAGACGGCCTATCTAAACCGATGCATTCACGGTATGTGTTGGCCTCTGACTGTGAGAAACCATCTCCTGAAAAAGAGCTCTTCTGCTACATGTATTGGTGTCCACGGTGTTTCTGCCCTGACGCGTGCTTAAGAACACAACAAACAGCGCGCCCGCAACTCGCTGATATGAACGGAGATCGTCGTTAAACCTGGGACAGATTGTGTGGAGAGGTGCGCCAGGATGTCTCATGTTTGTCAATAGCAGCCCCAGGAGAGCATGAATACGCGGCCAAACGTTGCGCACCCCCAGCGCCACTCCGCCGCAACCCCTCCTTCTCCTCCTCGCGTCATTTTCCCACCCTTTTCTTGCCTTCCTCCTCCTCCTCCTCCTCCTCCTCGTCCGCCTCGCCCCGACTGGTGGCGGTGCACAAATTTCGGCCGTCTTATGGAAGCAATGGCGCCAACTACACATGCAAGCACGGGTTGAGCAGGAAACGTGGCACACCCTCGTCTGCGTGTCTGCGTACACACAGAGGAGGAGAAGGAGGAAGAGGAGGAGGAGGAACAGGAGGAAGAGGAGGAGGAAGAGGAGGAGGAGGAGGAGGAGGAGGAGGAGGAAGAGGAGGAGGAGGAGGAGGAGGAGGAGGAAGAGGAGGAGGAGGAGGAGGCGGATCCTCGAGCATGGATAACACTGGCGCTAACAAAGCATGCAGAACTGGGCTGGGTGGCAAGACTGGCAAACCCTCGACCGCTTGTCTGCTGATGACCATCCTCTTCCTCCTTCTCCTCCTCCTCCTCCAACTCGTGCGCGTGTCTGCGTGTCTGATTACAGATACGTGTTCAATCAGAACATCATCGACCAGACCAACACCGCCGCGCAACGCGCATTCGCTCGGATGTACCCTAGGTAGATAGATATTCCTTCCGCTGAAAATCGCAAATCCGCTCATCCTCTTCCCCCTCCTCATCTGGCCGCGTTTCCTGCGTGCCATCGGAAACCATTGTTTTTCTTGTGACTCCCCGTTTCCAGCCGCAACTGGTTTGGAGAGGGGGATCAGGCAGAGGGGAGGCCACGAACCATCGAAGAGCAAGGCGCTACTCGTCTCGCTCGGTGCAGTCTGCAACTACTGGCGAAAACCGCACACGTCGCAACGATAGGTGCGGAACAACTGGGGGCTGTACTAGAATATTCCCGCGGCCGTCCCGCAAGTGCATCAATAGGATCACGGCTGCAATGCAGACACGCGCTTCCGGAATGATAATTCACCGACCCAGCGTAGGTGGACATTGCTTCCCCGCAACGGCGAGCACGTGAGATTCGTGGACATCTGTTTGGTCAGAAGTCAGGGAAAAGAACATTGAGGCTGGTCGCTCACTTGGGATTGACCTTTTCCTGCTGCTCTTCCACTCCTCCGCTTTCCTGCAGCTTGCCAGAAGACCGGCTAGCCGCCCGCCGACGCGACAAGCGCAGCGTATTGTAGGGTGTTCAGAGACTTCCCTGCCTGAAGGTCCGAGCCCGACACGTTCGAGACCATGGAGCAGCAGCAGCCTGGGCGCAGCCAATGCCGCATGACCCTGGTGAGCCTGCAGGAGCGGAAGGGGACGTGGCTGCTGCCAGAAGCCATGGCGCGCACCACCTCCTTCAAGTGCAGGAGGGACGTGTTAATCTCCTGTCGGGGATTTTCTGACCCGTGTCAATCCAGACCTGGGTTAGTCAAGCCTTGCACGATCCTGCAAAAATCAAAACCCTGCAGGACCCCGCAGGATCCGGCACCCAAAAAACCCGGGTCAGTGCTCTCCTGGCCCCGCAGGATCCTGCAGGACCCGGCGCTCTGACGGGTTCCCGTTCGCATTGGCCCCCGTCTCTGGAGCCCCGATCCTTGCCCTCGCGCACCTCCTCCGGCGTCTGCGTTCGACCGCCCTTCCCGGCGTCGTTCCCGTGCTCCGCCCCCGCCAGGTCCACCAGGACCAGCGTTCCACCGAGGCCGCGGGGCCCTCCGCTCGTGACCTCGGCCAGCCGCTCCCTGGCGGCGTCCAGCAGCTGCTTCTGCTCGTGCAGGAGGGCCTGGCGCTCCTCCTTCTCGGCCAGGTCCACGTCCGCTCCCTGCGAGGCCTGGAAGTTTAGCTCCTCCAGCTCCTTGCCGAGCGGCACCAGCAGGGACTCCTCGTGAACCACGGCCTCTCGTGCCGCCAGCAGGTCTTCCGAGACAACCTGTGGGAGGAGCAAAGAGGAGTGTATAGAACACAAGCTTGGACGCCCGAAACGGGTACGGGAAAAATGGGTACAATGCCCAACAACAAATGTTGTCCCACAGCGGCCGCTGTTGGGCAGGCGGCCTTCTGTCTCGAATGGACACAGGCCGCGGCGGCGTGAACAGCGAGTCCTGTGCAAGATGAACAGGAACTGCTGTTGGGCATTGTACCCATTCTTTCTGTGCCCATTTCGGGCGTCCAGAACAAAAGGAAATAGCCTCGATTTTCCGGTTATCCGGACGATTTGTTAATGATGCGTCAGACGTGGCGCTGCGTTTCGTCAGACGTCGCTGCCGCCATCGGACTGTCCATACAGAGGCAAACGCAGGCAGGTCGAAAGAGGGCCCCCCAGGGTGAGCCTCCATGCCCCGCTGGGGCCGAAGCGTTTCGGAAGTGCAATTTGTGATGCAGTGTAGACAAAACGTGTATCCCCACTGCCCTGTAACTCCTCCTCCTCCTCCTCTTCATCCTCCTCCACCTCATCCTCCTAACCCTTCTCGTCCTCCTCCTCCTCCTCCTCCTCTTCCTCCTTCTCCTCCTCGTCCTCCTCCTCCTCCTCGTCGTCCTCCTCCTCCTCCTCCTCGTCCTCGCCCTCGTCCTCCTCCTCGCAAGTGTGCCTCGTGGACGGCCCAACGCCGCTTGAAGGGCCGCGGCGGGCAAGCCGCCCGCGACTTGCCCCCCCGCTCGTCTCGCGCGCGCCCGCCCAAATCCTCCTCCTCGTCCTCCTCCTCCTCCTCCTCCTCCTCCGCCTCCTCACGTTCCTGCCCCTCTCCTCCTCAACCTCTCCCTCTGCTCTGCACCCTCTCCCTGGGATGCTCTGCGCCTCCATCTCCAAGATGGCGTGCGACCGCGAGGACTGGTCGTGCAGCGACGACGACCCCACCGCGCGCAGGGCGGAGCCGAGGGTCACGGCGGCGGCCACGGCCTCGGAGAGGAGGGAGGGAAGAAGGGAGTAAAGGGATGGTGGAGGAGCGAGGAGGAGGAGGAGCAGGAGGAGGAGGAGGAGGAGGAGGAGGAGGAGGAGGAGGAGGAGGAGGAGGAGAAGCGAGGAGGGAGGCGGACACTGATGATGATGACGACGATGATGATGATGCTGGTGGTGATGCTGTTGGTGTTGGCGATGATGCTGATGCTGGTGATGCTGGTGCTGATGGCGGCGACGGCACCGGCGGTGATCATCATGATGATGCGGATGGCACTGCCGATGATGCTGCTGAGGATGGTGGTGATGCTGATGGTGGTGCTGATGCTGTTGTTGGTGATACCGATGATACTGCTGATGGTGACGATGATAATGAAGATCATCATGCTGATGATGTTGATGATGGCGGCGATGATACGATGATGCTGGTGCGGATGATGCTGACGATTATGATTATTATGGTGGTGATGCAGATGATGACGATGATGCTGATGCTGATGCTGCTGATGATGGCGATGATGATGATGCTGATGCCTCTGATCATGATGCTGTTGATGATGATGCTGATGTTGTTTTTGATCATGATGCTGCTGGTGATAATGAATGTAATGATGCTGATGATGGTGATGATGGTGATGATGATGGTTATGATGATGCTGCTGATGATGCTGCTGCTGCTGCTGATGATGATGATGATGATGATGCTGATGATGATGATGATGATGATGATGATGATGATGATGATGACTCCGCCGACCCTGTCGGCGCATGCGAGACGGTGTTTCGTTTGACTCGTCGTCGTCGTCGTCGTCGTCGCCGCCGCCGCCGCCGCCGCCGCCGCTGTCGCCGCCCCCCCGTCTCACTGGGTCCTCCTCCTCAAGCGCGCCAGCCACAGCGAAATTGAGCAACGTCGTAGTTGAGTCGAAGGGAGGCCCCTTCCCTTCGATCCCTTCCCCGCCTCTGTGTGTGTGTGTGTGTGTGTCCTGGGGGGGGGTCGGGGGTGGGTTCTGGGTCAGAACATCATTCCCCTCCGGGGGTACGGGAGCCCAAGAAGGCCCCGAGACGGGTCAAGAGCGCCCAAGAGGCCCCCAAGACGGTCCAAGAGGGCCCCGCATCGCCGAGCAACGGGTGCAAGATGCCCAAGATAGCCCCCAGACAGACCAAACGATGCCCTACGTGGGCTCCAAGAGCACTCCTAAGAGGGCCCCAAGAGCACTCCCAAGAGGGCCCCAAGAGGCACACATTTTGGATTGATGTTTGTGTTCACGCCGTTTCGGCTTCCCGACGCTCCAAGGCGGCCCAATAGGCCCCCAAGATCGTTCCAACCCAGCCCACGAGGCCTCCAAGAGGGCCACAACATGACACAAGAGCGCGCCTGGACGGCCCAAGAGGCCTACAACACGGCCCACAAAGGTCCCAAGACGGCTCCAAGAGGGTGCTCAGAGATGGGAGCCCGAACGGACATCTCGAACCCTCGGCCCCGAGAGTTTCTAGGGGGCCCCCAAGGGGGCCCCCAAGAGGCCTCACGAGGTAAGCCAAAAGCCCCCAGGAAGCCCCAAGATGCCCCCAAGAGGCTCCCGAAAGGCCTCTAAGTGGCTCCCAAGAGGCCCCAGAACTGTTCCCCAGAGCCCCCCACGAGCCCCCCGAAAAAAAAACAAGAAGCGTCCCTGAGGACTCTGACCCACGTTAGCGTCGTCGTCGCTGCCGTCGTCGGCGTCGTCGTCGTCGCCGTCGTCGTTGTTGTCGTCGTCGTCGCCGCCGTCATCGTCGCCGTCGCCGTCGCCGTGGCCGTGGCCGTGGCCGTGGCCGTGGCCGTGGCCGTGGCCGTGGCCGTGGCCGTGGCCGTGGCCGTCGCCGCCGCCGTCGTCGTCGTCGGCGTCGTCGTTTTCGTCGTCGTCGTCCCCCTCAGGGTCGGCGGCGCCAGCCGCCAGGCCGTCGTAATATGAGGCTATGGCTGACGATGATGACGATGGCGATGATGATGGTGATGACGATGATGATGACGATGATGATGCTGATGATGACGACGACGATGACGACGGCGATGACGAGACCGAGGACGATGATGATGAGGGGGATGATAATGCTGATGATGCTGCTGGTGATAATGATGATGAAGACGATATTGCTGGTGATGGTGATGAGGATGATGAAGACGGTGGTAATGATAATGGTAATAACGCTGATGCCGATGACGATGACAATTCTGGCTACGATGATGTCGACGATCAAGATGATGACGACGATGGTGCTGATGCTCGAGATGGTGCTTATGACGATGACGATGGCGATGGCGATGGTGACGTTGCTGATGCTGAAAATGGCGATGCTGGATGTGATGATAATGTGGATGATTATGATGGTGTTGAGGATGATGCGGCTGATGTTGTTGACGATGGTTATGATGACGATGCTGATGTTGCTGCTGAAGATGCTGAAGGTGCTGGTGGTGATGATGGTGATGTGGTGATGGTGATGATGCTGATGGTAATGGTGATGGCGATGGTGATGATAATGATGGGACTGATGATGATGGCGACGATGATGATGCTGACGCTGGCGATGATGATGCTGCTGATACTGAGAATGCAGATGCTGGTGATGCTGATGCTGATGATGCTGCGGGTGCTGACGATGCTGCCGGTGATGAAAATGATGATGAGGAGGAACATGAGGAGAAGGAGGAGCAGGAAGAGAAGCAGGATAAGGATGGTGATGCTGCTGATGATGATGTTGCTGATGATGCTGGTGCTGATGCTGCTGATGGTGATGGTGATAGTGATGATGATGCTGAGGAGGAGGAGGAGGACGAGGAGGATGACGAGGAGGAGGAGGAGGAGGAGGAGGGGGAGAAGGATTTTTTTGCCGTCGACGGCGCCAAGCTGCCCACATACACCTCAAGCGGGGGGGCGAGACCCGCCAGGGGAAAAACAACAAACAAATTAAACAGACCCGGACTCGGAGTGGTCTCCACGAGCTCTAGGTTGACTTGGCCCCGCAGCTGCACCCAAGAGCCGCAAAACAATCGAGACTCTGCGCAGCGTGCGAGGGCCGTCCGAATCCTCCTCCGAAGGGGGGGGGAGGAGGCTCGGCGAGGGGAGCAGGATCCTCATCTTCCGTATTGCCCCAAGGGCCAACGGTTTAAGTGACTCCGGACTTCTTGGGGTGCAGTCCTGAAGCAACCTGGTTCCACGCGTGCTTCCGACCTTGAGCCCCAAATCTTGGCAAGGGCTTGCACTCAAGTCGGAGACCCCGAACTTGGCCACCACAAGTATAGAACTTGCAGCTTAAACACATAAACACAAAACTACCATCGCTGGCGTCGAGAAACAGCATCTTATGCCCCAAAGCAGCCAACTTTGGAGCATCATAGCCTCGAGTCCCAACGCCGACTCCCCCCCGGCAAATACCTGCGGTCGGTCTCTCCTGAGACCGAGCCCCTCGGAAGCAGGACAAACACTGCCAGAACCTACCAGTCCAAGACTAGGAGTGTCCCGAACGCGGGGGTCTCGGGGCGCCGCAAGGAGGCGGGGGAGGAGGAGGATTACGAACAACATTGGGGCCCATGTCAAGCTTAGGCCACAAAGGCATCAATTTAGTCGCCAGCACAGCCACGGCCAAAGAGACACGACATTGCTCGTCCAGCCGCTCCACGGCCTCACTATCAAATTTAGGATGAAGCTCCACCGCTAACCTCGCAGACCGATCGACGGCGCTGTTACCTTCACGCATATACCGCGTCCAAACATCTTCGCCGTCGGTCTCGACCTGGTGGGCCCTCACCTTTGAGACAGAGCACTGGTGCGAACAATCTCTGCAGAACTGGGCGACCCAAGCAAAAATGCGTTTCGGCGAGCACTGTGCAGGAAAAGGCAAACTGTGAAAATCTACACAGCTTTGACAGTCTAGGAAAAGGTTCGTTGGCCCCACAGACCACTGCAGCGCAGCGCTATATGCATGAAGCTCTGCAGACTGGGGGGTCTGGGGAACATGGCCCCAGACTGGTCCACGGACTCTCACCACTTCGAGACCTGTGCTACGATCCCAGACGGTGAAGGCCCAGCCAGCCCGATTGAGCTTTTTCACCACCCGCCTCGTGCATGAACCATCCCCGAAGATGTCGCCCTGCACCGCCTCGGATAAGTCGCCTTGCTGTTCAGAAGCCCACTCTACAACGATGCCTCCAGAAGATGCGGGAGCTGGAAACTGGTCCCCGGGATGAGGAAACACTCCGTAACAAGCTAGAGCATCGTCGGCTTCGGCAGCGAGCCTGCGGACATCAGGTTGGACAAGCTCAGCGCGTTGGGCGCGAGACGAGGGCAAGTTGTCCGCGCGCGTCCGTCCGCTGGTGCCGACCTACTTCCAGAGCAATGCTTTGGCAGCGCTCAAGCCTTCAGCTATCGTGGCTGGGGTCGGCGTGGCGTGCTTCATTTTGTTGTGCAGATTGAAAGCCAGCGCTGTCCACTGGATCGACCGCAGCAACGAGAGGTCGCTATCAGGATCAAACGGATAGGCGGCGGCGGGGCCCAAACCCCGGTTTGTAAGTGCGTTGCGGAGCGGGCTCAGGAGGCCAGGGCAGGAGAGGTAGTGAGGGAACGAGTCGGGTGCCGCCTGGCACCCAAACACGCGCTGCTTCTGCTGGGGGACGTGCATGCGGTGGGTGGTCGTCCATCCCCCAACAAGCGTCTTGTAAACAGCCCGGCGCCAGATGGGGCGGACATTGCGGAGTGCACTGGTGAGAGCGGACCAGCGCGTCGCGAGCTCTGGGGCTGAGGGCGGCCGATGGATGCCCCAGGCTGCGATGCGCTTCTCGAGAGTGGCTGTGAACGGCGACGAAAAAGAGGCGCGCTCTAGCGCGAGCGCGACCGCACGCTGCACCTTAGGGCGGCGCGGTGGCTCGGCGGCTGGAGCCTCGCGGAGCTGGCGGGCAGCTGCGCGATTTGCCGCGGCCGCGGCAGCTGCAGAAAACGGCGCGGCGCGCTTGCCGCAGGACAGGGCACGGT